TGCTGTCAGTCACTGCCCCACCGGCCTGTCCAAAGGCTTTACATGTGGCAGTACCGTCCTAAGGAGGAGAGGGAAAGGGAATGCTGTGATGGGAGATGGGAGACTTTCCTAGGGACTTGGGATCAGATCTGGCCCTGCTTTCTACCTCTCTGGATCAAGGTGAGGCAGACAGGAGGAAACTAAGGTAGTGGAGCACCTGCTGCATCCCACGTCCCCCTCCGGGTCAGTGATTCTTTGTGCTCTGCATCCACTGTCTCATTCAGATTTCCCAGCAGCCCTTCAAGGTTGGTGTTATCAGTACCTGTTTTACAATTGGACTTGAAGAAGGTGACTTGTTCAAGGTCACACTGCCTGTAAACATATTTGCACCTAGGCCTGAGATTTGAGTCAAAAGCACTACATAGAAAATTCCCATCTAATACCACCCTGACCTGGTCTCCACCCTTCATTGTCCCAGCTTCCACTGCTGCCAGGGGAAGACCTTGGTTTTTTACAACAGGCTTGGCTGAAGGAGCAGCAGTATAACCAACCAGGTGAGGCTCTGAAGTTGTCTGTCTTACCAGGATGAGTTTTCCATCAACAAGCTCCCGCACAAGTGTTGACTCTTGCCCGTCCCACTTCTGCAGGTGGACAAGTTTGCCTCCATCCAGCGTCACAATGGACTGTGGAAAGAGGCCTGAGCTGTGATGTGAGCCAGGATTAAGGGACAGCATGGGGGATCTGGTCACTGAGCCACAGAGGATTCAGCCTCTGGACCAAACAAATGACAGTGCTAGGGCCAGAGCTCAGGCAGCCCACCTCCAGCCTAACCCCGCAGGATGTCTAGTTCACTTCTGGTCTCTGCTCCACCACTGCCTTCAGGTGTTGAGCAAGTAGGAAGAGGAAGGCAGGCGGTGTGGTAGATCAGAGACCAGTACTGCACAGCCTAGCTCTGAGAAGGGCCACCAGCATTCAGGGTGGGCACTTATCCCCTACTGTAGGTGATGCCAGAGCCCCAGTGTCCCAAAGATATAGGGGTATGTGCCATCTTATATCCCCAGGAAAGGTGTGAGGAGTCTTGAGACTCTCCAGCCTAGTGGTGATCACTAATGTCTAAAAGACCCTTGGGGATAGGAGGTATTGGAAAATTAGACTTCCTATCCTATATTCCTACCCCTCTTCTTGATCTACATCATGTGACCCCTTCAGCTGACAAGTGGGCAGCAATTGCCAGGTCCTGGGACTGGGTGCCCTTGGAGTGTTTCACAGCCCTGGTCAAATGCCCACTTAGTCTTCTGGGTACCAGCCTGCATCAGCTGGTTCTCATTTGGCAGCTCTCCCAGATCTCTTCTCCAATAATCTGGGGACTCTAGGCCAGGCTAAGGGACCCTGACTGAGCAGAGTTCAGTAGGAGAATCTGAGAAGACTGCATGTATGTATTTGGGGGTGGGTATGCATCCTTACCATCACCTTACTCATTGCCATTCCCCTAGTTGTTTGCCCACTCGGAGTGGATTATTTTCGGCCTAGGCATCCCAGAGGACTGCTGTTGTGTTTAACTGGGAAGCATGAGACAAGCTGCCAAGACAGTCACTGCAGAGTGGCAAGCCCTGAGACTGGGGGTAGATGTCCCCTCCCTCCCTGAGGGGAGGTAGATTAAGTCTTGGTCAGAAGACACAACAAACACCCAAGACAATGCCTTGTTGAGAACATAGTTTGTCCTGCCTGTGGACTGGCAGCATTGGAAATACTTCCTCAGGGTCACTGGCCAATCCCAGGAAGTGACAGTTGGAAAAGAAGAAACATCTGAGTGGGTCTCAACCCTTTGTCCCCAGCTGCCTCCCCTTTGCTAGAGGCCAGATGCCCTAACTTGGTGGAAGGTCCTGACTTCTGGGCATCGTTCCTAAAGCACTAGAAGTCACAGGCATAGCAACACCACTCCCCCATCTATGGAAGGAGAAAGAAACCCAGAGTTACTGCATGCCATGCACAAGGTCACCCAGTCGGAGTTGGAGTAGACGGAGGTCAGAACATTCTGACTATGCTGCCCACTCCCAGGAGCAGCTAGTAGATGCTTCCAAAGAATGTAGAAGAGGGCAGGACAAACATGCGTTTAGCACCTGAGACATTCCAGCACTGTACAGGCTTTATGGCGCTTCTTCATTTCAGTCCCCCATAATTGCCTACCCCTCAGGTGCAATAATAAGAGGCAAGACTACCAGCCTATTCCCCTTCAGGGTCTCAAGGTCCTCCATTCCCCATTCCCCCTTGACTCACCTTAACCTTCCTGTCATCTGCCGTTGTCTCATTGAACTCCACCCCCAGCTTGAAGCTGATCTCGGTGTTCTTGAAGGTGCTCTGTGTTTTTATGGTGATAGTGTCCCCATTTATTTCGATGATTGTGGTAGGCTTGGTCATGTTGGCCACCTGCCTGGTAGCAAAACCCACACCTGAAGGCAAAGGGAAAGTTATGAGTATGTGAGCTGGAGTGGAGAGGCAGGGTACAAGAAGCGCAATGAACAATTCTTAGGCCTGGATGTGAGGAAGAAGAGGATACCTTTCCGAGACTTTACGTGGCCACTTTTTAATTCAGTCTGACTGTTAGCTCTGTGTGGTAAAGAGACTACTGATCCCATTAGATGAGAACTTAAGGTACAGGCATGCCACAGCAAGTTGGTGACAGAACTGAGATTAGAATAAGCTATTAAGTGCTTTCTGTGTGATAACTACACGTCATCTCATTCAATCCTTCCTGAAGGGTTGATCTATTATCTTCACTTTGCAGATGCTAAAACTGAGATGGAACTGAAGCCCAGGTCACAAATCTGAATTGACTACACAGCTCTTTTAACTGCTCAGCTATACTGCCTCCTGAGGCTGGAGCACAGGGCTCCCTTCCAGGGCACCTGAGCAGCTTTCAAGCTACAGGCTGAGAAAAGAAGAGAAATGTGGACTTTGCCTTCCAGAGCCTTAGGGATGAGAGTTTTCCACCTTCGGAAGTTTTTATCCTGAGGCGCACTGGTGCTCTTGTCCCCCATAGAGGGCAACAAAACATTTCAAAGCCTCTTACATAGGATCTAGGAGGTAGGCAGAAGGGTGTGTGTCAGCGTAGATTTTTGAGACGCCTGAAGTGGTACAGCACTCAGGATTCAAATCCAGGTCTCCTGGCTCCCAGTCTAAGGCCCCATGGGGACTCCCCTCCTGACCCAAGCATGGCTTTCCTGGGCACTGGGCAATCCTGCAAGAGAGTGCGGAACAAAGAGTTCTTGGGCAAAGTCTAAGACGTGTCCCCACAATCTCTCCTTTTGCCTACAACCTCCATAACTGCCCTGCCCCTAGCTGCCTATGCTGAGCTGTCCTCCAGGGCAGAGGTGGGGTGCACAAAGTCTCCAAACTGTCTGCTTCGCTACATAGCACTTGGCAGGTACATAGTCCATGCCCTCATGTGTTTTTGTACTTAATGCTCATAACAGCCCTGAACGGTAGGTTTTTATTATCCCCAATTCATAAATGAGGATCAGAGAATAGAGTGACTTGCCCAAAGTCAAAGAGTAAGTGTTTGACCTAGATCTGAATCTGGGCTCCCAAACTGTTCACTATTGCTCCTGGGCCATTCTGCCTCCTGTGATATGTGCCTGTGATCACTCGTACTACCGAGGCTGGGCCTCTTTGCCCCCTGAGAACTCTTGGTCTAAAATGATGGGCGCGAGCAGCCACTGCAGCTGGCCCACCTTGCCTGGCCAGTGAGGGACGTGGCCTCACCCCCTGCTGTCAGAGTGAGTCACGCCAGTTCCACTCCCTAGCAGACAGCAGGGCCTTGTCGCTGCATAAGGAGTTCTGTTTGCATAGGACCTACCTGAAGGAGTGCAGTGTTTGAGGAAGGAAACCTCTCTGGGGTGAGGAAGGGACTGAGCCAAGGAGAAACTTGAGACAAACTGGGCTGACAATTCAGGAAGCTTGGGAAGAGCTGGAGTCTACTTGGACATGTAGCTGAAGCCATTTAGTGAGAGAGCTGGGCAGGGCCTTCTCTCCTTCCTGGGCCCCAGCCTTTCAATCTGTATGACAAGAAAAGCAGGCCGCATGGACTCTCAGACCCCTATCCCAAGTTGGGGCAAAATAAGGAAGCAATGGTGGTAAAGATGTTGCAGCTCACTTCAGGGACCAAGATCTTCAGCTGCAATGTCTGCTGTGGGAGGCTTGAGAGGAGGAACTAACTCAGGCATTCTAACTCCCCCAACAGTAGCCCAAAGCCTCCCCTCTACTCCAAGAATGGCTACCTTCCTGGAGTCACTAGGCATAGTACCCAGCATAGGGTAGGGGCTCTTTGGCCTCAAGAGCCAACACTTGTTCCTATTTCAGAGAAGGGTTAGAAACAGGTGAGAGGTGGTTGGAGTGCACCTGCCATAATCCAGCCCGCCTGGGAGGAAGGCATGGGGAGTAGGCATGGAACAGGCATGGAACGTAGCTCCACTGTGAACATTCTGGTTTTCCCTGCCCCAACCTGGGGAACTAGGATAATCTCATATCGGGATTTCAGGAAAGGGTATCACCCTCTGCATCAAAGCACATACTAGGAGGGGAAAGGCTGGAGATCAATCATTAGCCAAGCAGTTCCAACCACTCCCCATTCCCAAGGCCTATATGGGAACTGATCTGGGTTGCAGATCTAGAAGTCCAGGTTTTCATCTCTGCTGTGGAATTTTTATGACAAATTCCTACTTTCTCTGGGTCTCAGTTTCCCCATCTGTTGAACTAGGCAAGGTATAAGGATCTCCAAGAGCCTTATCTGTAGGATTCTTTGAATTGTAACCTTTCCACATCCAAATACCAGACCCTCCCAGCCAAAGATCCTCCCTGCCTTTAACAGGTCTTGGCCTTGCTCCAGGACCCTTTGCTGCACCCCGGAAGTCCAATGGCTTTCTCTATCGGACTCCAGCCCAAGGAGTGGCTGAGCCTTGGGTTGTATGTAGCTGGTTTTGAGGCCTCTTGCCTCACCATACCACTAGGCTCACTGACAGTGATTAAAGCCTGGTTACACACCAGTGCAGAGCAAGGTCGGAGACTGACTGGTGAGAAAGAGGGTATCCTCCAGGCAAAATCCTTTTCCCTAACCCAATATGGAGGAGCAGAGGTTCTTGCTTACTGCATGGGCCTCTACCTCACTCCCATTTCCCATCACCATGGTTCCTCCACTCTTCCATCTCCCTCCTCCTGGGAATTCTCTACTTCTGTAGGCCATAGTACATTCTCCCATCCACCCCACTTCCCTTTCTATGTTCACAATTTCCAATTCCTGAAACACCGGTGCTCCTGTTCTTTTCTTCCTCCACCTACGAGCCTCCCACCTTCTTCAATGAATGCTCTTTTTATCCAAACCTGACCCCTACCTCCTGATCATACAGCCCTCTTCCACCACTTCCCTTTCTATGTTCACAATTTCCAATTCCTGAACCACCGGTGCTCCTGTTCTTTTCCTCCTCCACCTGCTAGCCTCCCACCTTCTTCAATGAATGCTTTCTTTTTATCCAAACCTGACCCCTACTTCCTGATCATACAGCCCTCTTCCACCGCAGTGCCTCTCTACTCCACCTCTCTACTCCAACATCGACCAGCAAGTCTGCCTCCTTGCATCTCCCTACCTGAGAATCCCTCTTGCCAGGTTCAGACCAGGAAAGCCCTCTCCCAACAGGCCTCGCATGCCCTATTCCAGGCTGCCATAGTCTCCCTGTCCCCTTATCCCCCAACCTTGACTAGAAGGGATGCAGCAGGCGTTCAGGGTACCAGCCAGGACGGGAGCATTGCGCTGGGTTGGGCACGTGGCCAGCCCCTCCCCAGCCCAGCATCCTGAGCCCCAGCTCACCGACTGACTTCATGTAGTCATCAAAATTCTTGCTGTCTACTAGCTTCCACGTCCCCGCGAAGGCGTCCACCATGGTGAGGCTGGGCTAGGCTGAGAAAGAAGAATCGACAAAGCTGGCGTGGAAGGACTCCAGGACCCGCGGCTCCTAACCAGCGCTGCCGCTTTAAATAGCCCTTGAGTCACGTGACGAGGCGTGGCCCACAACCCCCGCTCCCGAAATAGGAAGCCCCAGACTGGCTCTCACCCTCCGGGGGCTGGCCGCCCATCCCCCAGCCCACCGAAATGAAAGGGGCAGACTGTAGCGCCCGGCTTGCCTGCGTCAGAGCGGGTGCCCGGCTTCCGAGTCCCTGTCCCTGGCTGGCAGGGACCGGCTCCCTTCTCTGGCTTCAAGGCGCTTTTTGGAATCTGAGAAGAAAGCCGCTGGGGGCACGGTGCCCGCGAGCTGGGCGCACGCCGCACACATCTTCCATCCTCAAGTCCCTCCCTGAGCTTAGAGCAGAGATGGGAGACTTGTCCTTGGGCTGATGCCCACGCCGGGAAAGCTCTGGCTGACTCTTCACGGCGCAGTCATCAGGCATCTTGGTCCTCCCTCATTTTACAGGTGAGGAGACCAAGAGGGGAACTGACAAGGTCACAGGAAATGAGAAGGTGAATTGGAGCCCAGTTTCCAAGCCTGGTCTAGCTGGCTCCAGAACCTGCGCTCTCCCGCCAATCCCCACTGCCCGATGGCGGGGAGAGTCACCAGGGGCGCCATTGGTGGCTGAGCTGCCCCCTATACCTGGGCGAAAGCTTGACCCTTCCCGCCGTGCCCGCCCCACACGTGCTTGCCCCTCCCTGAGGAATGTCTGCTGCGCGAGCCTTTCCGCTCAGTGGTCCAATTCTCCGTACACCCTGCCAATGCGCCAGACTTTTCTGACCTCTACGCACAGCTCTGGGCATTTGTTGAGGTCATTTCCCCTTATTCTCCTTCAGAAATTCTGTCCCCCACCTGCCTGACTGTTGCAGCCTCCAACTGCTGCCCTTTCTCTGACCTCTGCTCACTAGCAATTAGTCACCTCCTTTAAAAACACTACCACACGGTTCTTTGACACTTTAGTTTACAAATCACTATTAATAATAAGATTCACCTTTGTATTGATGTTTATTTCATGCTGAGGGCATTAAGTACATTGTCTCATTGAACTTTTTAAACAAAGTCCATTAGGTAGGTGTTCTTATCCCTACCTACAGACGAGCAAACTGAAGCTTAGAGGAGCCATTCATTTCTCAATTCAGCAGTTATTAAAGCACCTGCTTTGTGCCAGGCTCTGGAGAGACAACCATGAATAAGACACACATTCACATAGCTCACCTTTGGGTAGGCAGACACAAAACTAGTGTGGTGACTTTAAGGGGAGGCCTGTCCTCATTGGGGGTTCAGAGGAGACTTCCCAGAAGAAGTAAGGTATAAATAAATTTCTGACATATAAAGAGGCCCTGCATAAGGGGGTGGTGCCTGATGGAACTTCAGCCAGCAGAGGTTCACCCAGGGGGACACACAGAAGCTGCAGGCCCAGTAGCCCTGGGCTCCTGCCAGCTCGGCCAAACGGTGTGGCGGAACCTCCTTCCTAGGCCTTTGTTTCTCTGTGGAAGTGGAGCACATCTGCCCTTACCTCCTTCCGTCTGACTTTCTGGGAAGGAGGCCATGGAGGAAGAGCCCTCTCTCCCCCAAGGTCTTGGTTATTTTGGACAGGTCCACTTGCCAGAAGACCGAGGGTCCTATTTCCGCCAAAGCCACAGGACAGGCCCCAGGGCTGGGCATAGAGCCCTGGTGACCTTATTGCCAGAGCAGGTGCGGCGGGGAAGGGGAAGGAGGACAGTGGGTTGGTTTCTGACTCAAGGTCACAGCCTTTAGACACAGGGCCTCCTCTCTCAAAGACTGAGCAGCTGCAGACCCAAGGACCAGAGCTGTTTCCC